TAAGAGGGCCCTGCCATATTGATAATCAATCAAAAAAATGTACCCTAGGCTTGCCCTTGGCCAATCTGGTAGGGACATTTTCTCAACTGCGGTTCCCTCTTCTTAAAGAATTCCAGCTTGTGTCAAGTTGACATAAAACTAGCAGTGTAGATAAATTTTAACTTAGACATAGACGATTGCATAATAAGAAACATCTCCTGTTTATCTGCAAGCTCCTTTTTAGATTCCCTTTTTAAAAAGATGTATTTATTTATTATGTATACAGTGTTCAGCCTGCAGTCCAGAAAAGGGAACCAGATCTCACTATAGGTGGTTGTGAGCCACCATGTGGTTGTTGGGGATTGAACTCAGGACCTCAGAAAGAGCAGCCAGTGCTCCTAACCTCTGAGCCATCTCTTCAGCCTGGCAAGCTCCTTTTAAAAATGGGGTTTTCATTGTTATTTTATCCAACTTAAAGAAAAATATCTATAGACATGACTGTGTACATACATTATTTACATATTCTTAGAGTTTTTATTATTTACACGATTTCAAATTAGCTTAAGTAAATTGCATAAACTGATGACATGACCACTCCATGGTATGATTAAGGGAGAGGTTTTTACTGTAGTTGAGAGAGAGAGAGCAGCCAGAGACATCTGGAAGAAAAAGTAGACTGAACGTGGCCAGGGCTATCTGCAAAAAAGGAGAGAAGAGCAGTGGATGGAGACTAGAGAAAACGCAGTGAGAGAGGCAGGAGCAGAGGGGAGAGCGAGTGAGAGAGAGGAGAGCACAGCAGGGTAACAAGAAGAACGAGTATGCAGGGGAGGAAGCCTGTGAGCTGGGGGGAGGCCGGGGTAGAGGTGGAGGTGAGAAGGGCAGGGTGCCAGCCAGCATGGACTTTGAAATGAGTAACAGGTGCTCACGATGCTGAAGGAGCCTGGAAGCCAGCACGTGCTTTGATATGCTCATACGTGCCTCAGGTAGCCATACGTCCCTTCTGCCAGAGCTAAGGGACGTATCTTTTGGTAGTGGAGAACTGGTTTCATAAGTTTCAAAGGAATGCTGACTTTTATCTAAGCACAGAAATCCCCCAACAGCCCAGGCTGGTCTCATTTTTTAATATTGGGATTGCCTTTTCTGGGTTTGGGGAAGTGGAGTTTCCTTTGTACCTGACAAAAATTATCATCTGAACTAAAAGTACAAAGTTAGTCTAATTTTATTAGACTTTTCTCTTTGTTTTGGTTACTTTGATTATGGGTTTGTCAATCCTTTTTTTTTTTTTTTTTTTTTTTTTTTTAATGTGTTCAAAAATCCAACCTCTTGGGTTGGAGAGATGGCTCAGCAGTTAAGAGCATTTGCTGCTCTTGGAGAGGACATGGTTTTGGTCGCCAGCAACTCCGACCCTAGGAGATTTAATCCCCTTTTGGTCTCCATGGGCACCAGAACTCACAGGTATATGCCTATAGAAGCACACACATATACATCATTTTAAAGAAATCTTTGAAAAGTATCCAAGCTTTGAATTGTTTCATCAATCTCTCTTCTGATCTTTTTGTTTGTTTTGTTTTGCAAGACAGGATTTCTCAGTGTAGCCTTGGCTATCCTGGACTCTCTTTGTAGACCAGGCTGGTCTCAAACTCACAGAGATCCGCCTGCCTCTGCCTCCTGAGTGCTGGGATTACAGGCGTGCATCACTATGCTTGTTTTTGTTGTTGTTGTTTGTTTTTTTCTCTCCCTGATCTTAATTGTTTCTCTGTTTTTATTGTTTTTGGGTTTAATTTGTTCTTGTTTTCCTAGTGCCTTGAGTTGCAGCATTAAGTCATTTCAATTTTCCCTGATTGATTGATTGATTTATTTATTTATTTATTTATTTATTTATTTATTTATTTATTTGCTGTAGACACTTAGAGCTATAAAGTCTCTTCTTAGGTCCGCCTTTGTTAAACCCATAGGTTTTTGGTATATTGTGTTTTCATTTGAATTCCATCGTGGAAATTAAATTTTTTTTTTCTGAATTCTTCAGTGACTCATTCATGATAATGAATGTGTTTTTAATTTCTATGAGTTAAGTACGTTCTGTAGTTCTCACTGCTGTTGCTATCTAGATTTACTCTACAGTGGTCAGAAAGAACACAAGAAGCTATCTTCGACTTCCCTGTATTTGGTGGAATCAGCACAGTGTTGTTAATCCATGACCAGTTCTGGAGAAAGCTCCACGGGCTGCCAAGAAGCATGTGCATTTAGTGTTCGAGTAAGCCGTTCTGTGTTACACACATAACATACAAGGCTTGTGACTTTGCACATGGCCACATGTGCTTTAGGAAAGTGGGTACCCCTGAGTTTGGTGTGTTTGCACCTGTAACAACCTCTTGAGGGATCGTTGCTTTAATGAGTGACCTTCTTTATCTCTTCTGACTAGTTTTTTTTTTTTAAAGCCCATTTTGTTAGAATTTAGAATAGTTATTGCTGTTTTTTTTTTTCCTGCTTCATTTTTCACTGTGGGATGCTACTCCCCTTTCTTCCACCCTAAGATGGTATTTATCTTTGATGGAGAGGTAAGGTATGCTTTTTTGAAGCAACAAGAAAGATGGACCTGATTTTCCAATCACACCTGCCAGTCTGCATCTTTTTACTTGGACAAGTCCAGGCCATCCGTCTATGCAGAGCTACTCTTAATGGAGTTGTGTTAATTCTTTGTCATTTTGTTGCTTTGTGGTCTTCAGCCTGTCTATGCTGTGGAGTCCCACTCTCAGCCAAGTTGGCCTGTTCCCACCCCCACTGGGTGTGTGGTCTCTGCACACCTGGGTTCCTTTGCTGCTCTGTGCGCTCCAGCCTGCTTCCACTCTCTTGACTGTATTTGGTGGGCTCCCACCTGCTTGGGTGCCCTACTCTGCGTCAAGTGTGACCCACCCCTCACTAGCGCTGTCTCCATCGCATTTCGTGAGTCCTTGAACGCCTGGAAGCCCCACAGTGGGGCGATGATCCTGTTTCAGGCTCCTGCAGCCTCCACCCTTGTTGATCGCTGTGTATCTGGGCATGCTATCCTGATCAGGTCCTATCTTTTATCTTGTGTAGTTTCAATTATTCTAATATTTTACTTTTTCCTTTTCAGTTTAAATGCCTCCTACTTCCTTTTCTTGCTTAATTGCTCTGACTAGAACTTATAGTGTTAAACTGGATATTTTTGTCTTGTTCCTGAGCTTAAGGGATTTTTTTTTTTTTGTCTCATGCCATGGAATATGACTGTGAATTTTTCATATATACTCTTTATCACATTGAAGGAATGCCCTTCTAGCCCTGGTTTATTTTTGTTCTCCTTTTTACCTCCTAAAAAATGCAGAAAATAAAAATTTACATTTTAGCCGTCTCATTTTTAATTACACTATGATGTACAATTCTTACTTCTATCCATCTGCATTCATTAAAACAACAGCAACAACCCCCCCCCCCCCCCGGCTCTCTTTCTCTAGGACAGCAGTTCTCAGCCTGTGGACAGATACCCTTTCGGGGGTCACATTTCAGATACTCTGCTCATCAGATTTTTATATTCTGACTCATAATGGTAGCAAAACTACAGTTATGAAGTAGCAACACAGTAAGTTTGTGGTCACCACAACATGAAGAACTATATTAAAGGGTGGCAGTATTAGAAAGGTTGAGGACCACTGCTCTAGGGTCTGGTAACCATGCCTCTGCTTTCTGTTTCCTTTTTTTGTTTGTTTGGTTTTTTTTAGAGCTGAGATTGAACCCAGGATCTTGTACATGCTAAGCAAGCTGGGATACACTCCCAGCTTCCACTAATGTGGTTACTTTAAGTACATCATATGAATGAAATCATTCACTTAGAAGCATGTCTGTAAGATTCGTACATATAGTACAGTATGTTGGGATTTCCTTCTTTTAATGATTCTACTTGCTTTACCCTTTCCTTTCACTTGGGACCAGAGCTCACATTTGTTAAATCTCTCATGTTCATCTCATAATTCAAAGTTCATTTAATCTCTCTAAAAGTCACCAAAATCTTAGGAATCTCCAAAATTACTGAGAGGCAGAGGCAGGAAGATCAGGAGCTCATACTATATAGCTATATAGTGCGTTTGAGGCTGGCCCGGGCTACATGAAATCCTGTCTAACAGCAGCAATGTACCCAAAGTCCAAACCTCTTCTAATAGTCAAGACGCACTTAACTGTGTGCCTCTGTCAGACAAAAAGTAGTCAGAACAAGCTGCATAGTCCTAATACACAGTGATACAGAGTAAATACTCTCATTCCAAAAGGGGGGGGGGGGAGTGAAGCCCAGCAAAGAAAGATCTGACCCAGACCAACCTTCAGCTCAAACCCAAAATGACAAACCCAAATGATCCAAATGACAGTTTTTTGTCCCTTCAGGCTGATCCTGGAGGCTTCCTTAGGGGGCCATTTTGGATCGGGGACCTTTGTGTTAAGATTCTGTTCACACACACACACACACACTTCTTTTAAATGATTTTACATTTTCATAATTTTGGATTTTTTGACAGGCGGTGTCTTGCGCTTAGAATTCTCCTTAACAACTGCAGATGCTTTGTGTGTTCCCTCTCCCTTTTCTGCAACTTCAAACCCAACTCACGCTCCTTTCTTCATCAAACTGTACATTAAAAAAATATCTTTCTGCTCTCTCACTGTAGATAGGAACGAGAGCAGTAAAAGCTGGGATTGCAGGACTGCGTGGCTTTTTGTTTCATTTTCCGAATAATTTACTTTAATTTTAATCTAGTCAGTATCAGTGATACACGGAGTCAAAGCAGGGCAACCTCCCACACCCCACCAGAAACAAAGCACTGGAGACTGTTCCTTGAAGGCGGGTATTTCTTATTCAGCGTTCCTGAGAGTGGATCGTGGGCAGTTATTTACTGGTTAATTAACTTTGAGTCCCCGCCTCTAGGAGCCAGGGGGCTTCATCGAACGTCTACGACAATTTCTCACGGATTAGCATCGCTGACATCTACTGAGATATTCCGTTGCCAGGATCCATCTTCAGTCTCGGGTTCTGGGGCCGGCCAGGGGGCGTGCCCAGCACGCGGCCCGGCCCACCTGCGCGCTGGTTGGTGGAGCTTCGTCGAGGCCACGCCTCCAGGCGGCCCGCCTCCTGAGGGGGCGTGGCGATGGGCCTGCCCGGGGCGGGCCGCGGCGGCCCCTCCAGCCCCCCCGGCCCGCACGCAGCCCGCGCAGGCGCACGCGCGCCTCCACGGCCGGGTCGCGGCGGGAGTGGGGACGCGCTCGCTGGAGCCGCGGAGCCGCCGCGCTGCTTCCACAGCTGCACAGGAGGGGAGCATGTCTGCAACTCGAGCCAAGAAAGTGAAGATGGCCACCAAATCGTGCCCCGAGTGCGACCAACAGGTGGGCCGGGCCGGCGCGAGCGGGCGGGGCAGGCGGGGCGGGCCGGGCGGGCGGCCGTTGCGCGGCGGCGGTTGG